AAACACATATACAATAGATATATATATATATATATATATATATATATATATATATATATATATATATATGATTTAGTGAATGGATGTGTTTATATATATATATATATATATATATATATTTGCCTATATATTATACGTATATATAATTAAAATCTTAATTGAATCGACGGATCGGCTCAAGTCTGTAATTTGGTCCGTAATGTTTAGGGTCTTGTTGATCTGAAACGGGTTTTAATTTTGAAATATGAATCCGTAAATTTTACGGATAGATTCGGGTCGGGTAACGGGTATCCGGTTTTTTTTACAGCCCTAACAATTACAATGTTTTTTTTATAAAAAAAACAACAAATAAGACGAAAGAGCGACGGAAAGATTACGATGCTTATATATTCATCAAACTATATATATATATATATATAATGTAAATCCATTTACCATTATTTAGAGAGGAAATGCTTTGAATCATAAATTTTAATAATATTTATGAAACATTATGTAAGTGAGCTAATGACTATATTATATAGATGCATTGACATCGCTATGTTATATAGTGAGACATTATGTGAGTTAATGGCAATTGAAAGTGTATCGTCCAGTTAAGTATATTACCCTAATGACCATCATGGTTGGACAAATGCAAAATAAAGTAAAAACTCTCCATAATTTCTAATAAAATTCAAGTGATTATTCATTTGCACATACATACATATATATATATATATATATATACACATATTATTTTTGTTTCTTAAAAGTTTTGTAAGCGAGGGGTTGTTTACAACATTTAAATGGTACTAATATATAGAAGAATTGAACGTTCAATTGTATTTAACTTTATTTTTTTCCCATCTTTTAAATAATTATATTAGACAACCACTGACGATGTTCCATTAGGATAAGCGACGTAATTAAGTCAAGATTATGCCATTCACTTTTGTACAACAAGTAGATTGTCGTCCAAGAAATATATATAGGGATTCTTGTCAAGAAACCCTAATTACGTCAAAAGATTACGATGATGGTTTTATAATATGATATAAAAAAAAAAAGTTGATTACACATATCGTAGTAGAGGTGACGAAACAAAAAAAAAATCTATTATGGAGTAAAAAAAAAATCCACGCAACATGTTCGGTTGGATGTTTTATACACAAATTGCCTCGTGGACTTTCCATTAATTCATGCACCAAAAACTTATACATAGTATGTTACTTGCCCTTTTGGTTATAAATTTTGTATTTCACTTTTTTTTTTGCTGTATTTAATGTTTCCAACTTTGTTTTTATATCGTAAATTAAAATAGAATTTTGGTGTAACGGAAAATAACATGAATTGTGACACCTGTTGCAAGAAGACATGACGTATGAAACTGAGACACTTTCTCTTCCACTTGAGATTGGGTTTGGGGTCCATTGAGCATGTGATGTCCATTTGCCTCACTTACAATCCATATATGCATATCTATATATATATATATATGTATATATATTATATGCCACCATGATACATTTTTATCTGCACTTATATATATATATATGTATATATATATATATATATATATTATCTTATATTTTCCTTTCAATTGTGCAGTCGCTCAATCTTTTTTATATTTTTGTATCCGCGAAGAAACACGTATACGAAGATACAATTTAATTTAAGATTCGATCAGACAACCTTAACCGGTTCTATGGATCGACATTGGTTCGATATACCACCGATCACAAACTATACACGTCACCATTAGTAAAATCCAAGACAGAGAAACAAACAAACAAAATGTCCTCGAGTTTTGACCGACCGGTCCCCACGATACCAATTCAAGGTATGAAAACTAAACCGGTCTATTGAACCGGGGCCTGGTTATTCTGTGTGGCTGTGGACGTCTCTCTCTGTCTGATTCTCTGATAGATCTCTTCGTACGGTTCAGAGCGATAAAGCATCCCACTAGTGAATAATTGAGGGCCTATAAATACAATCCCTTCGCCTTACCATTAATTTTCAAGCCTCACACTAAAAAAAAAAACTAAAAAAACACAAAAAAAAAAAAAAAGGAATCATGGAGAAGAAGATCGACAACAACATCAACAAGATCGAGGAACAAACCCGACATGGCACGAGAAGGGCAAAGGGGGGTTTGATCACAATGCCCTTCATCTTCGGTATAAACCCTAATTACACAACCACGTCTTAAAACTATTCATAATATACAGATCTCTCTTATGCATATATGTATGTATATGATTATGTATCGAAAATGTTATTATAATTTGGGGTTTATTCTTGGCGTTACAGCGAACGAGATATGTGAGAAATTGGCCGTAGTGGGATTTCATGCAAATATGATAAGCTACTTGACCACTCAGCTTCATCTCCCTTTGACCAAAGCGGCAAACACTCTGACCAATTTCGGCGGGACCTCGAGCCTCACTCCTTTGCTCGGTGCCTTCTTGGCCGATTCCTTCGCCGGCCGGTTCTGGACCATAACCATCGCTTCAATCGTCTACCAGATCGTAATCTCATAACAAAAATAAAAACCCACCTTTTTTTTTTCGATATCGATCTTTTCCTGGTGTGGGTTTTCGCTCACATGACGTTTTTATTGATGATTAAAGGGGATGACGTTGCTGACACTATCGGCGATATTACCGAACCTGAGACCGCCGCCGTGCCATGGAGAGGAAGCTTGTCGAGAGGCGGACACGGGGCAGTTGACGGTTCTTTACGTGGCTCTGCTTCTTGCGGCTGTCGGGTCTGGTGGGATCCGACCTTGTGTCGTCGCTTTTGGTGCCGACCAGTTCGACGAGTCCGATCCTAAGCAGACCACCAAGACTTGGAACTACTTCAATTGGTATATATTTATCATATATAATTCATTTACATTAATACACACCTTATTTAATATGTTTACTAAGTAACGAGTACGCACGATTCCTCCTATGTGTAAATAATCCTATTAAATTTTGCCAAAAATAGTTTGCGACTTTATATAGTAGTTGTAACAGTGAAGTATATCTTTAAATGACAGTTTTTTTTTTCTTAAAAAAAAATAAAATATTATCAACGATCCAAAACGATTTTTAAAACAAAAAGAATCCAATCCATCACTACCCCTAAAATACGGAGTATTTTTAAATTTCTTAATCCGTTTTTATTATAAAAAAATAAAATACGGAATATATATAATAATGTGTTATTAGACTTTTTGGAAAAGAAATAGAAACAAAATAAATCTGCTATAAATTAATATTTTATAATCTTCCAAGTAAAATAAACTCAATTTGCGATGACTTTTGGTGTTGAAATATATGTTCTCGTTTTATTAGGTACTACTTCTGCATGGGGGCATCTATGCTAGTTGCCGTGACGGTCCTCGTCTACGTCCAAGACAACGTCGGATGGGGATTAGGATTAGGGATTCCGACCGTGGCAATGCTGTTCTCGATCGTGACGTTTATGGGCGGTTACCCGCTTTACCGCCACATGGATCCGGCGGGCAGCCCGTTCACCCGCCTGATCCAGGTATCGATGGCAGCATTCCGAAAGAGGAAACTGCCTATGGTCTCGAACCCTAATTTGCTTTACGAGAACGATGAGATCGATGCCCCTATCTCCTTGGGTGGAAAGCTTATTCACACCACACACATGAGGTATATATAACACTTCACTCCTTCTAATTCTATCTCCTTTTTATTTTCTGTTGCTCTAAATATTATATTCATAGTTAGGGGTAACTTATTTGGTTAATAACCTAATTATCGAACCGATCCGAACCATATAACATATAACCGTAACCGAACCAAATTCGATAAAAAACAGAATGATTATGATTTTTCTAAAACCGAATCCGAACCCGAATAAAAAAATAATTATAAATTTCTTTTAAGAAAATGAGTATGTTTATCATAAACGAATCGAATCTGAATCGGATATAACCAAACCAAATTTAATATAAAAATCAAACGGTTATAATTTTTCTAAAACTAAAATAACCAAACGTGAATATGGTCGGACACCCGAGTAAGCCATAGTTGGTGAAATATTTTATACATAGTTAAGTAAAAGACAATCCAAGAAATCGAGTTTTATTAATGTTTGGAAAATTTAATATTTGCATGATCCACGTAGGAATATTCAATTTATAGATGGGTTAGTTAAGGTGGCAAATCTAAGATGCAATTCCTATTAAAAGAATGATAACATTACTAAAGAGGAGATTCTCAAATTATAAAATTCATGTGTCCAATGATGGCATTTATCATGATTGGTATCCAAAGGAAATAAAAAAAAAAGTGTTGTTAAAATAAATAAAATTTCCAAAAAATGATTTTTGGTACGAAACTTCAACAACTTGTCTATTGGGTGAAACCAGACAAAGATATATTTAATCGAAATAAATGCAACACACATCACGAACATTAAAAAAAAAATTACAGGGTGTCTAATGAAAAAAAATACAAAAGATTTACCAAAAGAAAAAAAAATACAAAAGGCATCTCTGTTTGGCCCCGTGAATAATAGACAAGAGGACATAATTTCGGTCACACCAAGACAATTATTAAAGTTGTAACTTTTGTTTTGGCATATGTAAACGCACCGAATGGATTCATTGCCACATCCATGACCTAATCATTTTTGTCCTCATCTCTCGTTTTATTTATCTTATTGTTTAACTCTTATCAATAATAATTTACAATCACTATATCCGAATCTTGAATTATTGCGTTTCTTTATAACGTTTTATTGATTTTTAAAAAAATGCAGATTTCTGGACAAAGCAGCGATCGTGACTGAGCAAGACAACCTTAAACCGGGTCAGGCCCCGAACCCGTGGCGACTCAGTACGGTTCACCGAGTCGAGGAACTCAAATCGGTGATCCGAATGGGGCCCATCGGAGCGGCCGGAATCCTCCTCATCACGGCCTATGCCCAACAAGGAACGTTCTCTCTGCAACAAGCCAAGACCATGGACCGTCACATAACCGAATCGTTTCAAATACCGGCCGGTTCAATGTCGGTTTTCACGATCGTGTCCATGCTCTTAACCATCGTGTTCTACGACCGGGTTTTCGTCCGGTTCGCCAGGAGATTCACCGGTTTAGAGCGTGGGATCACGTTCCTCCACCGGATGGGAATCGGCTTCGTCATCTCGATTCTCGCCACGCTGGTCGCCGGTTTCGTGGAGATTAAGCGAAAACGAGTCGCGATGGCTCACGGGCTCGTGGACAAGGGCCATTCGGTCGTACCGATTTCGGTTTTCTGGTTGGCTCCTCAGTACGGACTCCACGGAATTGCCGAAGCGTTCATGTCGATCGGACATTTGGAGTTTTTCTACGACCAAGCTCCGGAAAGCATGAGGAGCACGGCGACGGCGCTGTTCTGGACGGCGATTTCGATAGGAAATTACGTAAGTACCCTCCTGGTTACGCTGGTTCACCGGTTTAGCGCCGGGCCGGATGGGCGGAACTGGTTACCGGATAACAACTTAAACCGGGGGAAATTGGAGTATTTTTACTGGTTAATCACCGGTTTGCAAGTGGTTAATCTCCTGTATTACGTGTGGTGTGCGAAGATTTACACGTTTAAACCGGTTCAGGTGCACGACAGCACGGAGAAGGGTAATGGTCCGGTACGGGATGGAGTTGAATTATCGAATACGGTTTAGTTGGTTAACGTTTGATGGGCTTTGGGTGTAAGTAAATTAGCCATGGAACAAGGACTCATGTGTTAGAAAATAGCCCAAAGTAGAGTAAGTATAAAGTATCAATTTACTATGTTAGTCCAAAAAATGCGTGTGTATTATGTTTCTTTTGTATGGTATTACAACGTTTGATTCATATTATATCAATAAAAAATCAACATGTCCCCTTTTTCATAAACAGCCGCACCCATTATTATACTAAATGATTAGGGTAGAAATTTTGATTTTTTGGATTGGAATTCGGTTCGGTTTTATTATGGTTTTGTTCTTTTAATTTTAGAAAATTTATATCTATTCAGGTTTTATGTTAGATTCGATTTCGGTTCGGATTGGTTTTAATGATAGAAATATTTATTTTCTAAAATAATTTACGATTTTTCAATTTGGATTCGTTTAGTATAATAATATTATAACCATACGACTAGATTCAAATTCGGTTTTTTATTTTAAAAATATCACAACCAATCGGTTTGGATGTCATTAATTGAACCGGTGGTTTGGTTTTGTTAACCATTAACCGAACCGAACCCACTCTACAAAATATCATATGGGCCGTGATTAATAGTGAATATTCAATGCAAATTGATGTGATATTGGGCCTTAATGGGCCAACAAATAACGAATGATTGGTTGGTGAAACCGAAACTCTAGTTGCGACAGTCGCAATTCCAAACATCTCGCACGCCTTTTACCTTTTCAAATCTCTCTCTCTCTCCCTCTCTTTTCCTCGAACCCCGAAACAGAGCCGATCATATTTGACGGGGAAAAACAATCTAGGCGTTGAACTTTTGAATTTCTTGGAACCATCACGATCGGAGAATTTTCCTCCAGATTCTACAGCCCTGGCGAAGCTATACAGGGAGGAGGAGTTAAAGGCCATGGAAGAAGAAGACGAGGAAGGGATGTTCGAGGACGCTGTTTCGAATGTCGCTAGAGCCAGGACTCGGTTGTCGGTGATCACGGAGGCGTTCGAGGATCTCGCCGGAATCCTGAATTCCCGCCGGAAAGTGCGGCGGATGGGCTGCGGGGCATCGGAGGAGGAAGAGATGGGGCTGAGACTCGACGCCTTCTGCAGCGCGTGTGCTCACGTCTCTGTTCTCTTCGAATGTCTCGGCCTCGCCTTCAAATTCGCCGAGATGGAGTACGTCTCCAAGGTTCATCTCTTTTTTCTAGATCGATCATTCCTTTTTTTTTCCTCCTGTCGAATTTTGAATTTCTTATTGTCCTTTCCCTTCATTACATTGTTGCTCATCGCGATTGTCTGAGATTTGGGGTTTTTGGATTCGATTCAAACGCCGCATTTTTTTCTGATTGCAAATCCGTTTTCGTCTGCAGATTTTTCATTCCTTTGATTTGTGCACGATCGTCACAATTCAGAGACTCATTTGAGAATCCGGGATTTGTGTTTTTTTTTTTGGATTTGGCTCGAATGTTGCATTGTTCTTACCGAAAATTTCGAATTCATTTCGTCGATTTCGAGTTTCAGGTCAGAAATCTAATCGAAGCATCGAAAACATTCAACACATTACAAGACATATTGGATCTGGATGTCGAGAACGACACGGTCAAGACACCGGGAAGCAATTCGAGGAATCTCCGCCGCGTTAGGCAAGGCCTCGACCTCATCCGAGCCATCTTCGAACAGTTCTTAACCACCGAGTACGTCTCCGAATTCACCGTAACCGAGCAATATATATCGATTGCGTTAAACCGTCTGATATATTTGATATCGCGTCGATTTTTTCAGCGGATATTCATTGAAAGACGCCGCCACAACGGCATACACGGAAGTTTGCGCACCGTTCCATACATGGGCCGTACGGACGGCGGTTTACGCCGGAATGTATACGCTCCCGACGAGGGAACAGCTTCTGGTTCGGCTTAACGAAACAGGTGAGATTTTTTCCATCCCGTCCGAAACTTTGTTCTTGATTGTTCCTCGAAATCTAATCCGATGTTGTTGTTTTTTTGGTCCGAAGATCGATCGGTGGAGAAGAACATGCGGAGGTACATTGAAGCGTCACGTCCGATTATAGCGTATATCGACAAGCTTTACATCGTTAGGAACATTACATTGGACTGGTAACAGTATTTTTTTTACGATCTGATTGGAAAAAAAAAGTGGGTTCGTCGTCATGGGTCTTGCATTTTATGCATGAAGTATATATACACTACACTCCAAGATTTATACGTACTTCGTATATTTATGTTGTCGGAACATGCTGTAGAGTTGGAGCTCTGTCTTGTCTGAAAAAAAAGCATGAGATGGAAGTTTAAACGAGGCCGATCATTTGCGTTGTGTTCCAATTTTTTTCTTATATACATTAGCTGTATGTGTTGTATATAAATAGATCTAATAATCAAATAATTTATTTATCATAGATTTATCACATATTGTATATAATTATTATATTATTAACAAACACATATGGTATGTATTATTTATCTTCAGTGACCCAAAAATATTGTATATTATCTCTAACACAAACGTTATATAACCGGTGTCTGTAAGTAATTTCTACACAAAATTTCATATGGAAAAAATGAGAGTTGGAAATATTTTGGTCAACGATCCTAAACAGATTCAGAAACCTCCGGAGCTCCCGTTGCATTCAGAGCCGGTAAGTTTACCGGTAAAAGCCGGTGGAGTCGAAAGCGTTGACCGGTCCGATTTTCCAAATCTCTTTATTTCAAAGAAGAAAAAATCGGAATCCCAACTCTCACTGAGGTGGGCCCGACACGTGGGCCATGCCAGGCTGTATCGTGGACCTGCTTTCTTATGCGCTGCGTCACTTTCTCTCTCTCTCTCTCTCTTGTTCACATTACATGTATTATATATGCACGAATATATATATATATATATATATATATATATATATTTTTTTTTTTATATAGTTACTATAAGTTTTAAGATTTATTTTCTCCTCTCATGATTTTTATTTTTTAAAATATTTTAATATTTATATACTTTCCTAATATTAATTTAAAGGACAAACATAACAAATGTATCATTTATAAAATGGTATATATATAATTTTTTCAATTTCATCTATCTGCATTGTATTTTGTGTAAGTGAGAAAGTGCGCTGCATTAACATAATTATTAATAATATCAAGTTCAATAGTATATTAGTGCGCAGACTATTATAGCAACAACTTGTAACACAAAAAAAAATAGATATTACAACTATTATGAATATGATTAAAATATAAATACGCCTGCCATATTTTATAGCTTAAATTTCATAATTAAACACGATTATATGTAACAGTAAAATTTTATTAAAAAAATCAAACTAATCGAAATATAAAAAGATAATACCTTCGTCTTCCTAAAATAAAAATGAATAACATTTGGTTTCAATCCCATGAATCTAAATTTATAGAAAATCCATGTATATGGAAATGATTTTTATTATTCAAGCTATTAATCATATTCGAAAACTTTTTTGTTCTGGATTTTTTTTTCTAAAATTCCATAAAAATGAACTAAAAAGAAATTGTTAGATATCTAAAATTATAAAAAAAAAACAGAGGAAATTATTATAAATAAAAAAAGCCAGCTGTCGAATAGATTGAGCGAGTTTTATTGTCTCTATAAACCCGCATCACGCGCTTCATCTCCACACGACTTGTCCTTTGTCATTTTCCTTTTACGTGACGAAAGAAAAAAAAAGAAAAAATCCCGCCTTGGGCAGTTTCGAAGTTACAGCATATACTTGAGGATTTTCTCGTCATTTCATCTTACGATCTTCGTCTCATCTACGTGGATGCAATCATCACCGTTCATCTCAATCCCAAATTGCCCGAAACCCTAGCTTCCCCCGTCTTTTATAGTGTTCAAATTCCGATTTCTCTCTCCTCAATTATCTCACGGGCGAGAGAAACCGGAGCCGACTCCGAGAGAGAGAAAGAGGATTTGCGAGGGCGGCGAATTCACGAATTGCGATTCCGGTCTAGGGTTTTGTTGTCCGAGCGGCGGACGGATATGGCTTGGCCGGCGGAGACGTCGTCGTACTGTGGCTGGAAGGAGGTGCATGTGAGGAACGAGAAAGGGAGGAAGGTGGTTCATTATTACCTGAAGAGGAGAGACGGAACCGCGGATCTGGCTGTTGTCGGGAGGGAGAAGAACTCGAGGCGCATGTCGTACAGATACGCGTTGGAGACGAATGGATCCGTTCTATTTAAGCTCAACACTCGAGGGGACGTCGTTGATTGGCTCAATTCTGTTGTTTCAGGTATTTTCAAGTCTTGAAATAGAGTTCTTCGAACCAGTTTTAGGGGTTTCTTCTTTGTTTCATGATTTTAGGCGCATTTGAAAGTGGGAAATGTTGCAGAGGGCTAGATCTGGATCTGGTGCGAAACTACGGAAAGGATTTTATCGATTTTTGATTGGTGTCTCATCAATTTTGAAGAAATTCGGTTTTCCCCCTGTCACGACACCATTTTATCTTCAATATTTATCTGGCGATATCTAGAAATATCAGATTTTGGGTTGGTCTCTCGTGAATTTCGAAGAAATTCAGCCTTTTCCTTCAACATTTTGGCTTGCGATATTCGGAAATCTTTGCTTTTCCGCCTTTTTTTTCGTTTCAGTTGAAGTGCCTTTGACGTGTGCGTCGATTTCGGCTTCTGATTGGGTTTAGATGCGTCGATGGGTGAAAGGGGTCTTTTTGCTAATTATTATTGTCGCCACTTTATTTCGGTTTGAGACCGATGGATTTTGTTCTCAGTTTGTGCCCTATAAGATTTGGTAATGGTACATCTTTAGGATCCTGTTTCCCCCTCAAGTTTTGTTTTGTAGTTATCTTGTTCTTCGGAAACATTCTCCCCTTTTCATCTTAGAATCGAAATGTTTTTTTCTTTTGTATTTTGTTGTCATCTATGCGCTGATCCATTGTGTTGAATTCTATTCACCCGTCATAACTCTGAGAAAATGTTGTTCTTCTCTTAACTCTTCTGGTTGCGCTTTTGCAGCTAAACCTATTTAGTGTAAACTGGTTTTGCTGCAGACAGATCAGGGTTTTCACCTTTTGGTACTGCCTGCATGCTTAAAGAATTGATATCTTTCCTGCTTTGCTTGATTTTTCATTTATGCTCTTAGATAGCAATATGCTAACACATAATTTACTCTCGTCTTTGAAATATCTCTGATCTTTGGCTGTATTTTTCAATTCTCCCAGATGTGTTACCTCAAGAAGCTAACATACCCACTGCCCCTGCTTCCACCCGCACTGCTACAGGTTTAAACCATGACACCCTTAAGGTACTACTGTAATTACAATTACGACATCTTTTGTCAAGTGTTGGGAGGACACTTGTCAGAAAATTCTGAATAATTGGTTTCTCTTTGTCCTTTTCTCCAGGATGCTCATTATCCGGAACAGGTTCATAGCAAAAACTTCTCATGGATGGGCACACCATGGATTTGCAAGAAACGGCGTAAGCATTACCCATCTTTTTGCCGGAATGGTGTCAGAGTATCTGTGAGTCATTATATCCTTTTTAAAGTTGGAAACTTGATTGTTGAGCTTTGCTGGATTTAGTTTCTTTTGAAGCTTATCGTTATGCTAATAACATGTCATTCTTCATGTATGAATTCGTTGCAGGTAAATGATTTTGTGTATGTTTTAGCTGAGCAGAATAAGCGTCTAATTGCATACTTGGAAGACATATATGAGGATTCTAAGGGCAGCAAGATGGTTTTGGTACGATGGTTTCACAAAACTGATGAGGTTGGTATTGTTTTGCCTCACAACGTTAATGACAGAGAGATTTTCTTTTCTCTTTGTCTTCAAGATATCAACATTGAGTGCATAGATGGATTGGCTACTGTCCTCAGTCTTCAGCACTACGAGAAATTTCAGAAGGAGTTTATGCATGGTCAGCCTGTTGTCTTCTTTTGCCGTAAATTATATGAAGATGATGTTATTAAGCCCTATAACATAGCACAGTTAAAAGGTTACTGGAGACAAGAAATGCTTAGATACTTGAATGTGACCGCTTCAAAGTCTGGTGAAGGTGCGCAAGAACCCAGTAACGAGTTAGGAATAGGAGCTGCTGGGGTTAATTGTGGTGAGGTTAGATTGAGGAAGAGGCGCCGCTCCAGCCCTGTGGAGAGTTTGAATACATCATTGGCGAATGGCCTGCAGGTTGATTGCAAGGGTAGTCTGGACTGTGTAAACTTGGATGCTTGGCCTGCTCCTAAGACCCAGGAGGAGGCTAAACCAAGTTCTTCTCAATACATAAAAAAGGGTTCATTTGTTGAAATACTTTCGCAAGATAGTGGCATCAGAGGCTGTTGGTTTAAGGCTCTAATAATAAAGAAGCACAAGGATAAAGTGAAGGTCCAATACCAAGACATTCAGGATGCAGAAGATGAGTCTAAGAAGCTAGAGGTACTCTTTTGGAAACTTTTTTTCTTTTGGGCTTTTTACTTACCATTTCTCGCATATTGGGTACTCATTTTTTGAGGCTTCATATGCTGTTCGCTTTCAGGAGTGGATTGTGACATCTCGCATCGCCGCTGCTGATCACTTTGGTGTTCGAATCCCTGGTCGGAAGATGATACGTCCTCCTCTGGAAACCTGCAAAGCAAATAATCTATGTGCTGCTGTTGTTGGAATGCCTGTGGATGTGTGGTGGTTTCATGGATGGTGGGAAGGCATCGTGGTTCGGAAAGTGTCAGAAGAGAAATTTGAAGTCTACCTGCCAGGTCTGTTAATGCAACCATTCGAAAGATTTCATTAATCAAGGATTCAATTGAAATACTTATATGTTTTCCGATACAAACTGTTGTAGCCTTTCTTTGTTTCTTGCTGTTCTTTCAGGGGAAAAGAAAACGTCAGTCTTTCATCTTAGTGACCTTAGGCAATCTCAGGAATGGTTGGGAGACGAATGGGTAAATATGAAACCTAGGTCAGATCTTGTGAGTTCTGTTCTATCTTCCGTGGAGACAAAACATACTACGGTGAAAATTGATGAGAAGTCAGCTCAAGTTGGTGCTGGTAACATTGGAGCGTCACTGAAAGGTGAATCTGAACTTACCGACTCTCTTCCAGTAGTTATGACCAAGAAAGATTCCGTGTTGCAATCCGTTCCTGATCTTCTGAAGGATGTCCTCGTTTCCGACTTGAAATGGAAAACATCGGGGAAGAGAAAGCGAAGCAGTGGTTGCTGTTCCCAGAAGCTTGTTGGTTTAAGCGAATGTTTCACAAAAAATTCCTCCTTGGTAACAAAATCCAGAGGAGGAGACAGATCTATGGCTCCAGATTCTTTCAAAGTAGATTGTGAGAACTGCAAGTTCATGGGGGATTCTTTATTTGGTTCTTCTGTTGCTCCGGCGGCTCTGACGAGCTTGGTAATGTCAAGGTGATCATGAAGTGGTTTTGTCTCAGCGAAGCATCTGCTTGATGCCATTTTGGGTTTAGGTTAAGGTGACTGACTGACTGGCTGGCAAAAGGGCTGGATTTCTAGATAAAGTTGGTAGTGGCATCCAAATTCTCTTTACTGTATGTATGTGTAACTGTAGGTTGGGGAGCTCTTGATGTTTGTGGGAAATCCAGGCAGGCAGCTAATTTTGGATGCAAGTAAGTAGGTGATTAGCGTAACCTTAAGTTGTAGGGTTTTAGCCATTAATCAGTTTTTTTTTCTTGGATTCTGTAGTTAATAGAGTTTTAGCTTTGTCATTCTCTCTCTCTCTCTCTCATGTAAACTTCATGTCTTGTCTGAATAAACTGTGCTTCTTTCTTGCCCGCTCTTGAGCTTACTAAAAGCATTTGGATACTCTCTCTCTCTATATATATATATATTAATTTGACCCTCCAGGATATTGTCTGAATATTATATAAAGTATGAATATGAATCCAGTGGATGTGCCACTAGTTTCAATATTTTTATCATTTCTGCAGTTGATTTGATTTCTTTCTTTTTAGCTGAGTTGGAGGAAACTTTGATTACTTTCATTTCTCTGCAAGTCAATCTTGTCTGAATATTATATTGAGGAGGCCGCCTTCTCCTTGTTTTTAGGGAATTGCAGAGAATTGAAATGGGTCCACCAGCAAATGAAAAGGATGCTCTTTTTTCTTGCAGCTGGGAACCATTGTTGTTTTCTGTCCATTTGGGGACCATTAAGGGAATCCAACAATGTATGTACAATCAAAATCCTTTTAACCCTACCAAATCTTCATGTAAAAATAAAAGTTACCAACTTCTTCTGTATCTGATTAAGATTTTCTGCTAATTAAGTCACCAGCTTTTGCATTAGCCACAAACCCTCACCAAAAAAAAAGGAGAGTGTTCTTATCTTAAACCCTCTTTTCCACTACTACCTAACCCCCCCTTTGTGCTTATGATTGGTTTTTCTTTTACTGAGGTGAGAAAACAGGTGAAAACCCCAGAAGGAACTGTTGATTAGTTTGGTCTTTAGAAGCAACCTCCTAGAGAATAATTTGCTCTGTGTAGAAAGAAAAGGGCTTTTTTTTCAACAGGGATTGGTAATGGTGGGGTCTGTCTTTGTGAGTGAATCATCTTTTTTAGGTTAGAGGAAGAAAAAGTCATTTACTTGGAGGGAGATGAAGAAAACCAGAGAGGTCTACAAACCAAAAGCATGTTACCAAGATTTTATCCTTTTAAGACAAAACCGAGTTGTGTGAACAGAAGTAACTTATATATGTGTGTCTTCCTCTTGTCTCCTCCGTAGATTGAAGTGTAAGAAAGGATGGGCTTGCTCTGTCATCCATGGTGGAGGATTTGCTAACTGATCCTTTTCCGAAAGTGACTGTCTTGCTTTCCACTTCTGATCAACTCCGGTCGGGTCCAGATTCCTACCCTTCACCGTCTTTTCCCTGTTCTATATATCTTGTCGGCTGCCGCGGCTAATGGATAACGAGTCCACCGCCATGGCTCTGTCTGAACTTGTCGACAAAGAGCTCAAAGCCGTAGATAGAAGGAAGCTTTCGAGAAGCGGAGACACCAGTCTTGCTTCTGTCGCATCGTTATCCATGCCCATTGTCAGTACACACACACTCTCTCTCTCTTAACCTGTTTTCCGTTCTCTGGAATCTTGCCCTGAATCTTTCGTCTCTGAGTTCAGTTCTCTGTGGTGGTTTGGTCGGTTTTTCAGGTTCAGGAGATTGTTCTGTCAGCTGACATCAGATGCTCCGACTGCCAAGAAAGAGTAGCCGACATAATGTCAAGAATGATCGGTGAGAATCTTCATCTGAACTGCTTCTGCTTCTGGGTTCTTCTTCTCCGTCGATGCTTATTGTTTCTCTCTCTCTCTCTCTCTCTCTCGTGTGGGTTTGGAGCAGAGACGTATTCAGTGTTGGTGAGTGTGTTGGAGAAGAAGGTGACACTGACATGCAGATATTCCGGTGACCGGAAGGTCTCCAAGTTACACAACGGCCGTCTCCGCAAAATCTCCACCATTAAGCGGATGATATTCCGCTCTTCCAGGGTGATAGTGTTCAAATTCCGATTTCTCTCTCCTCAATTATCTCACGGGCGAGAGAAACCGGAGCCGACTCCGAGAGAGAGAAAGAGGATTTGCGAGGGCGGCGAATTCACGAATTGCGATTCCGGTCTAGGGTTTTGTTGTCCGAGCGGCGGGGGGAGAAGGCGTTTG